ATTTTCAAATTAAAGCAATAATAAATATCACTGCACACCTGTTGGAAAAAAACAAAGATGCTGAAACATGAAATGTCAGCAAGGATGTGGAGCAACAAAGACCTACTCATTACTGATGGGAATGCAAAATGGTACAGTCTCTTTGAAAGATAGTTCGGCAGTTGCTTACAAAACTAAACATTGTTATCATATGATTCAATAATCATACTTTTTAGTATTTCCCCAAATGAGTTCAAAACTTATGTCCACAAAAATATCTGCATGTGAATGTTTACAGCAGTTTTGTTCCTAACTTCCCAAACTTGGAAGAAACCAAGATACATTTGGTAGGTGAATGGAGAAATAAATAAATAGTGGTACTTCTAGACAATTAACTATTATTCTGTAGTTAAAAAAAAACTCTCAAGCCAGGAAAAGATATGGAGGAACCCGAAATATCTGTTACTGAGTCATATTAGTCTGTTTTCCATTGCTGTAACAAAAACACCTGAGGCTAGATAATATACAAAGGAAAAGAGATTCTTTAGCTCACAGATTTGCTCAGCTATGATGAGGGCCACCTTGGCTCTGTCACAATGATAACATTGTGAAGGGGGCACATATAAGGGGAGGATCACATGGCAAGAAAGGAAGCCAGAGGGTGATCTGGGGTCAGGCTTGCTCTTTTATAACAACTCACTCTTGTGAGAATTAACTCTGTCCTGGAAACCAGCATTAACTCTGGCAAGGGCAGGACCTGCAATGACCTAACCTTCTACCACTAGACCCCACCCTTAAAGGTCATCACCTCTCAATACCGCCACACTAGGGACCAAGCCTCCAACATGTGAACTTTTGGGGGACAAGCCACATCCAAATCATGACATAAATGAAAGAAACAAATTTGAAAAGGCTCTATGCTGTGTGATTCCAACTATGTGATATTCTGGAAAAGGCAAAACTATGCAGAAAGTAAAAAGATCAGTTGTTGCAAAGGTTGTGAGGGAGGGAAGATAAATACGTGTAACACAGACGGTTTTTAGTGCCGGGAAATAATTCTAAATGAGGCTGTGATAAAGAATACATGTCATTATGCATTTGTCAAAGCCCATGGGATTTATAATACCAAAAGCGAAGTCTAATGTAGACTATGGACTTCGGGCAATAACGATGTATGTTTGACATTTGCAACGACTCCTCCCATCCCAGAGCTGGAGAGAGAAGGTGGCTGTTCATATGTGGAGGGGTGGGAAGTAGATGAGAAATCCTATTCTGCTCATTTTCATTGTGAACCTAAAACTGTTGCTAAAATTCACTTAAAAAAAAAAAAAAAGGAAAGAAATGGGGCTGGGGTTGTAGCTCAGTGGTAGAGTACTCACCTAGTATGCATAAGGCACTGGGTTCGATCCTCAGCACCACACAAATATAAAATAAAGATATTGTGTCCACCTAAAATTAAAAAATACTTAAAAGGCTCTTGTTCTTATAAAAAAAAAAAAAGAGAGAGAGAGAGAGAGAAAGAAAGAAAAGTACAGAATGATCAAGTAGGGTTAATCCCAGGAATGGTTAATAATAGAAAAATGGTTAGATGGTTAATAGAAAGATGGTTAATAATAGAAAAATATGTCAATGTAATTTATCACATTAATACCAAAAAAAAAGGATATGCTATTACCAGATGTAGAAGATATATTTAGTTAAAAAAGCCTTTAGGGAGCTGGGAGCATAGCTCAGCAGCAGTGTACTTGCCTGTCATGTACAAGGCCCTGGGTTCAGATCTTAGCACCATAAACCAAGCAAAACCATCAATTGTAAATTAACAGGACTTTTTGTAAAAATAAAAGCTCTTTAAAAACTATGAATAAAACACTTTAGCTTTTTAAAAGATTCTCTACCAAAAGCTTGAGGATACCTCATCTTGATGAAGAGATAAAGGCATACCTGTAATCCCAGCTACTTGGGAAGCTGAAGCAGGAGGTTGTGGGCTTGGGATGTAGCTCAGTGGTAAAGTGCTTATCTAGGTTGTACAAGGCCCTGGATTAAATCCCAGTATTACCAAAAAAGAAAAATAAGAGGTACAAGCACATTCTCTTTAAAATTAGCAACAATCTAAAAACAAAGAAGGAAACGAGATTTAATAGGAGGGTTTGAAGGAAGTGATATCTTAAGTGTGCAGCTAATAAGATTATTTACATGTAACATTCAGCAAGGCCAGGAAACAAATAATTAACACTAATTAGAGAGTGTAGCAAGTCTGCCAGAAATAAGAATAACACACACAGGTCATTAATAGTAGAAAAAGTAATGGAAAATAAAATGCCACTTAAATAACAAACTAAAAGTATAAAGTGTCTAGGAATTAAGCTAATGAAGAATATACAAACACTTTAAGAAGGAATTTTTAGGGCTGGGATTGTGGCTCAGTGGTAGAGCGCTTGTCTAGCATGCGTGAGGCACTGGGTTCGATCCTGGCACCACATAAGAATAAACAAGGGTGTTGTGTCCATCTACAACTAAAAAAAAAAAAAAAAAAAATTAAAAAAAAAAGAAGGAATTTTTAAAACTCCATTAAAAGATATCAAAGAAAGGCAGGGTATGGTATCCTGAGCCTAGAATCCCAGCTACATGGGTGGTAGGGACGAGAGAATCAGGAATTCAAGGCCACCCTGGGCAACACATGGACAACAGAGTAAGACCATATCTAAACACACACACACATCAGAGATCTGAATAACTTCATCAAAATAGCATATTTATGAATGGGATGATGTAATATTTTAATAGTATCAAGTATCCCTAAGTTAAACTATAACTTAGTGTTTGATAAGTATGGGATGCCAAATGATATTTGGAAAAATTAACTCACTGTGTAGATTAATAATAAAGTAGAGCTGGGCTATAGCTCAATTGTAGAGCACCAATCTAGAATGCACAAGGCCCTGGATTCAATTCCCAGCACTGCAAAGTAAATAAATATAGTAATAATAATAATAATAATAAATATATTCCCTTTAAAAATATAACCCCTTGGCCCAGCAGCTCAGGAGGCTGAGACAGGAGGATTATGAATTCAAATCCAGCCTCAGCAACTGCAAGGTGCTAAGCAACTCAATGAGACCCTGTCTCTAAATAAAATACAAAACAGGGGTGGGAATGTGGCTCAGTGGTCAAATACCCCTGAGTTCAATCCCTGGTACCATAAAATAAATAAATAAATAATCCCTTGGATGGATTTGAACTGAAAGTCTCAATGTAAAAAGATAAAACTAAAAATAAAAATAAAAATAAATAAATAAATAAAAGCCAAGAGGACAAAACATAACTGAATATATTCATGACTGTAGAGGGGAGGATTTTATAAATAAGACTCAAAATGCCCAAACCATGGATAAATTTACCAACATCAATGTAGCTATATATGTGGGACAAACACATGATAAAGTTATCAGAAAATTAACAGACTGGAGTAAAAGTGTTGAAAACCGATAAATGAATAATACTTAGAACATAAAAGCTATTTCTGGTCCGGGTTCCATCCTCAGCACCACATACAAAGATGTTGTGTCCGCCGAAAACTGAAAAATAAAGATTAAAAAAAAAAATCTATTTCTGCCAATCAGAGAAAACAGGAAACACAACAGAAAAAAATGAGTGACATTTATGAATAGGCAGTTAAAGAAGGACAAAGTTGAACAGTGAGTAATCGGTGAAGAAAAGCTCACTAGTATGGCAACATGTAAATCAATGGATGTGTAACTGATATGATTCTGCAACCTGTATACGGGGTAAAAATGGGAGTTCATAACCCACTTGAATCAAAGTGTGAAATATGATATATCAAGAACTATGTAATGTTTTGAACAACCAACAATAAAAAATTAAAAAAAAAAGAAAAGCTTCACAAAAAATCAGAAAAATGAAAAGAACACCATCAAGTATTATTTTACACATTTTAAATTGGCAAAAATTAGGAAATCCAAATATCAAGGGTTGATGGAAGAATGAGAACCCTCATGACTATATATATGTTTGTGGAGCTGGGAGTCAAATCCAGGGCCTTTGTACATGCCGGGCAAGTGCACTACCACTGAGCTAAATCCCCAACTCAACTGGCTATTTTACAGATTGACCTCAATTCACTTAGTATTAAGTGAAATTATATGTGAATTAACTCTACAGCTGTGCACAAATATCCAGAAATGCACAGCTGCACAAGAGGTCATGTAAGAGATCGTTTCCTGCATCCCTGTCTGTACTGGCCAAGAGCTGGAAGGAACCTCCAGCTGGTCACTTGGAGACTGGACAAGGAAAGGGTTTAGGCAGCTGTTTGAAGGAAAGAGCTGGATTTCCATATAGCAGCATAATATATATGTCCAAGAAACATAATGTTGAGTGAAAACACATTAGAAAAAGCCTTAGATGAAAGAGCTCTCAATAATCTAATATGTTCATGAAAACACAACACACAAGCACAAATCCACACTAATTTTCAAGGACACATCTAGAATCATATGGTATTACATTCCCTAGAATAGGCACTTGGGGCACACAGGAGTGGAAAGAGGAATGAAGCACAAGGAAGATAATAACTCTACAAATAATTCCACGCCATCTTTGCAAGAGCTGGCAGTGCTAATTCTCCACAGTCTGAGAAGTAGAGAGACCCTAAATCTGCGGTGCTGAAGTCCTTAAAGAGAGATTGGGCAGGGCGTGGTGGCCTGTAATGCACATGCCTGTAACCCCAGCAGCTCAGGAGACTGAGGCAGGAGCATCAAGAGTTCAAAGCCAGCAACTTAGCAAGGCCCTAAGCAACTTAGCAAGACCTTGTTCAAAAAATAAAAAATAAAAGGGTCTGGGGATGTGGCTCACTGGTTGAGTGCCCCTGAGTTTAATTCCTGGTACCCCCCCCCCCAAAAAAGAGCAAGAGATCGGTTCTTCCTAAAACTTGGCTGGGATGAGCTGTTGTGTTTTTCTACCTTATCTATTCTGATGTTGTCCCGCTTCTTTTTTCCCCTCTAAAGGATTGCTGGCTCCTCACCAGGTCTCTGCATATTCGGAGGATGTAGATGGCATTGTGGTGACCTGGCAGGCCCCCGAGAAAGCTGCCTCAGCTGTTCAGCAGTACGTGGTGGAATGGAGGGCACTCCATCTAGTGGGCAGCACACAACCTCCTCCAAGCTGGCTGTGGGTGCCCCCCTACAATGTGTCAGCTCTGATTTCAGGTACTGAATTGTTCACTTTCACCTTAGCAAGCTACCAAGTTCACATTTGTTTGGGGAAGCTGCAGACCAGGATCCAGAACCTTGCCTTCAATGACATGATAACCCAAAATGACAATGGACAGTGACAACCTAAGTCCATCAAGAAAGCACAGCAGGATACACCACTAGAATCATAAAAGTCAATGTGTTGAGTAAAAAAAACCTGATATTTATGGAAAAATCGTATCCCTAGCACAGTGCCTAAGAAGATGAACGTACTTGAACCCAATGATTATGCTAAGAGCTAAGCTGACAGTGTGACAGTGTGATAGGTACCTTTACCTTTGAATTTTTTTTTTTTTTTTTTGGTAGAAAAAGGAAAAAGAAGGTTTATTTCTTTGCTAGCAAAGCAGAAACACAGGGACTCCTATCCCAAATGCTGTGATTCTGCCCATCAGCAGGAACCGGGGGTTTTTAAAGAGGTGATTCAAAGGCTACATTCCACATGTTCTCTGTTGGAGTTAAAAATCCACTTGTTAATTTGGGAGACAGTCATTTCCAAAAAAATCTTCTGGTACTATCCCCAAAATCTGGATTATTTCATTCCTAGGATGGGTGAGTGCTAAAGGACAGATAACTCTGTCTAGGATGAAGAAGAAATTCCTTTGGAAATTTGTTCAAATCAAAACAATCATGCAGATGAACAGTCATTATTTTGAACCCATCATACAGATGAGAAAGGGGATCTTTCATTTCCTATTCTGCTACTTATCATTGCTGTGATAATAAATCCAGAATTGTCTGTATGGTAATGGGTGTCTCTATTCCTCAAGTTCTGAATGTGTCAGTGGTTAGAATTGAGAGAAAACATCTGAAAATATATTTACATGTTTGGACAGAACTTGGTTAATTAGTTATTTCAAGTACAGCCTAATGATTTTAAGTTCTGGGTCTGCAGCTACACTACCTGGGTCTGAGTCTTGGCTCATGTCACAAATAGCTGTGTGATCTAGGGCAAATTACTTAACTTGTGTGCCTCAGTTTCCTTATCTGAAAAATAAGCACAGTATTACTTCATTGGATTGTTGTGAGAGCTAACTGAATTAACATGGAAAATGTTTTGAATGGGGCCCGACATACATTAAGTACACAATGATTTAGCTATCATAATGTTATTACTAAATGTTCAGACCTAAGAGTTTAATAGGTCTGCAGGCTCTAAATCCCATATTTTCATTGCACCATGACAATCATTACACCTGTCTAGGAGGATGTTGTACACCCTTCTTAAGGACCCAAGATTTGTATGATAAAATAAACAGGGCACAGAATATGATGATATAGGAGCTGGTCCTTAACTGTGTGCCCCTTTTGTAGTCTGGCTGCCTAAACTTCTAGTAGGTTAAGTTTTAATCATCACCCTTAAAGAGAACATTGCATATATAACCCAGCAAACTTCCAAAGAAAGGTGAGCAAGTCATTGGGAGACTAAAACTTCAAATCCATTTAGCCTATAAAAGAGAATTCTAGGTATGTGGGTGGGTGGGGGGAAGGGGCTGGTTGATGATATGGCTGTTGCTTCTTTTAAACAAGTATGGGCATAAAATGGGGGTGCCTGTAGTCTCAGTTATTCAGGTGGCTGAGCAAGGAGGACCACTTGAGCCCAGGAGTTGGAGGCTAAACTAGACACCATAGTGAGGCCCTGTCTCAAAAAAACAAAACAAAAATGTGTTTCTTTTGCTGTCCCTGGAGAACAAGCCTAAATCCCAAATGGAAATTAAAAGAAGACAGGTATCAATTTTGAGAAGCAACTTTGATGGTCTCTAATAGGACAATCAATTACCTCTCAAGGCATCATCCCAAGTTTTTGCAGTAGAACCAATTCTCTTTCAGGACTGTTCTGCCCATCAAATCAGACAGAACCGTGGATAGAAAAAGCATTCACTGAACTGTGAAATTGTAAGTTGTTATTACAAACTATATCAGGACTCACCATGGTGGACAGTTTGAACTATTTGCCCTATAGTTCCTTCTTTGGAAATCCTCTGATTCTTTACAAACACCATGAAATAGATGACAATACAGAATGTTTTATGCACTTAGTAAGATAAGTGTTGTTAAGCTCTTTAGAATTATGCACTTGAGCAAAATCAACATACTAATGAGTAAAATGACTTTATTAAAATAGTTTCGCTGCTTGGAAACACTTGTTTAGCTATCAGTTTATGTCGATGTTAGATTTTAGAAATATACACTTGAAATATTAAGTAATTTATACTTGCCATGAATTTTAATGGGCCTTCTCTGGTAAGATCCCCCATTGCCATTGGTCGCACACCAACCTGTTCCCAGTTTCTGACTGGGGCCAGAGTTGAGTGTTCAGAATACAATCTGATGCCTAGACTGTAGGTTGGTGGGGCCAAAGCTGGGTGAAAATGCTTCTGACCATGTGAACATTCCTTTTACAAATATACACTAGTACAGTGCCTGGGGTGGGGGCTGGGCTGGTCTTACATCTAGATGAATTGGTTCCCTCTTCTGCCTGCTCCCATCTCACTTCCTCTTCTCTCACACTTGAGAGGTGAAATTAGCTTTCTGCAGAAAAACCACTTAAGAGATGGCTTTTAAACATGGACCGGGGCCTTTGCTCAAGGGCACCAGGTGTGTATGTATGTGTGGAAGTGGTGGGACCGCACTGTAGCAAGGAAATTAAAAGAAGACGGGGTTGGGGCGGGGGGGGGGGGGCGGACTAAATGAAGGTCTTAGGAGTAGGGACTTTTTCCATTGAAGGTTCTTGAAATGTGGGGCAGATGTGATTAGGGAACGTTCATACAGAATCAGTCAGAAAAATTGAACAGAACCAGGGAACAAGCCTTGCTGGAGTTCTACTGTCTTTGGAAAGGGTAACACAGCTGAGTCATGGAGCCCCATGTTTTCCCTCCTCCAGTAAGAGTGGCCCATTCACAGGAAGAAACCCACAGCATCTGATGTGGCAGTTCCCAAGGCTGCTGCCCTGACTCAGCATGGAACCTGGAACCTAGTGAGCTCTTCTGGAATTACCAGATCTCCATCTGGCATACTCACTGGCACCTTCCGTGACTAAGGGTAGAACAGCCAGGCACTGGGAGCAGAAAGCCACACCAGAACCTTCCCAGATGAAATATGATTCCATATCCTCTGTGGCCCTTTGAACTTCTTTGTCTGGATGCCACCCACAGATGATCTTTGGATTATGGGACTAGGGCTGGCGAGGGTTCTTTTCTCCATTTCATTTGGTTCACAAACTGGAATTGGAAATCGTCCATGGCGTGCTTTCCAATTTGTGATCTCTTCTGACAGGACTGGTTGCTTTGTGTGCTGCCTACTTACCGGAACATTTAAGGGACAATGGATTTTTATAAAAACACATCCAATTTAGTAAATTATTCTATCATGTAGAATTCCTCTGATCCCCCACAGAAGACCTTGAACTTCAATCAATTGTCAGTGTAAGGGACTCTAGCAACCTATCAGCAGAGCATTAAGCAATATTGGAGAGTTCTTACTTGGACCTCCTGCTCTTTAGTTACCTAGCAGAGATTATCTCTCTTTTTCCTTTAAAATTTTATTTGGAATTTAAAGATATAATATGGGCAGGATATATGGGGGCAAGGTTTTTTTGTTTGTTTGTTTGTTTGTTTTTTTTTACAGGCAGCAGAACTCTTGAGATTAGTGGAAATAGGAGTTTGGGGAAAGAGGAACTTGCCAGTAAGCTTCATGACTGACAGTAAAGGGCAGTGTGGCTCTTTAAAAGCTGGGAAGGAGCATTAGCATTCCTGGGACTCATCCAAATCTCCAGGCTGTGAAGCAACTTGGAGACCTAAGTGGAACAAGGGAGGGAAGGCCAGGCAGGAGCAAGGGGTCGGGTTGCACTGAGAGTGCCCTGGTTAGTCATCCCCACTGTGCCATCTGGAGCCACCCTCTCAGATCCTGATAAGCATCGTGGAATTAGAAAAGCTACTCAGGTGCTGTGCCTGCAAAATGCCAGCCTCACTTTCTTGTAAACAACAAATGATTTCTTTGTAGAAGTCAGAGGTTTTTTCCTTCAAGGTGAGTTGTTAGTTTGTTTTGGCCCCAACATGTACACCCTCCCCAAGTCAGTCTGCGTGTGTGTGTATTCCTTGTTGGAACCTGAATGGATTTGTCTCCTTAGTCATGACAATCCTGTTTGTATGAAGAGACAGGTTGGTTGGTTGATTTGTTTCATTCTTGGAAGTTGGGAGCATTGATTTCTAAAAGCGGGCATCATGGCAAATAGGATGCTGAGAATTTGTAACTCAGGTCATCTCTTTATTCTCAGTCCAGACTGTCCTTGAACCATCTTCAGAATAAGGCAAGAAATGCCCTGGATGAAGATATTAAAATGGCTCCCTGAGTGACCCACCAGGCACAGTACACCTATTCTAAGAACTCCCTTTTCCTTGCAGAGAATATAAAGCCCTACGTCTGTTATGAGATCCGAGTGCATGCCCTGTCCAGGGATCAAGGAGGATGCAGCTCCATCCGGGGTAGCTCCAAGTACAAAGGTGAGCCTTGGGACCTTTTGCAAATTTCACTTCACTTTTGGATTTGGAGGGTGACAGAAGTCTCCTATGACCTTCTTTCCAGCACCACTGAAAGGCCCCCACATCAATGCCATCATGGAGGAAAAGGGAAGCATCTTAATTTCATGGAACCACATTCCAGTCCAGGAGCAAATGGGCTGCATCCTCCACTACAGGATATATTGGAAGAAGAGGGACTCAAGCTCCCAGCCAGAGCTCTGTGGTAAGTGTGAGGATCATGTGCTGTGGGGTCTCCTGTTTGGATATGGGGAAAACCCAAATTTGGGCATGTGTGTATCCACACACGGTGCTAGCACCATGCCTGGTGCCTGGTAAGGACTCCATAAGTATTTGTGCAATGAATTAAATTAAGACAAAAGTCATCCTGTGCCAAGCAAATTGTAAGACTACAGAAATGAAGTAAACTAGGTTCTCAAGGTGCCTGTTCATAGGCAGGGAGAGCATTTCAAAAAGCAATCCAGGCCTCTTAATACTAACTCTGTAGGCCCTTGAGGTTTGTGAACAACACGTTTGGAGAACTCTTTTTTTTTTGTACCAGGGATTGCACCCAGAGGTGCTTAACCACTGAGCCATATCCCTAACATTTATTTTTATGTTTTACTTTGAGACAGGGTCTTGCTAATTTGCTTAGAGCTTCACTAAGTTGCTGACGCTGGCTTTGAACTCACAGTTCTCCTGCCTCATTCTCCCAAGTGGCTGGGATTACAGGTGTACACCACTTTACCCGGCAACATTTGGAGAATTTGTAAATCCTCACATTTGCAATTGCCACCAAAGCACATTACTTTCTCCTTAAAATGAATAAATTACAATACTGTAAGCCTTTATGACCCATAATCATTCTATAACTATAAAGCCAAAGCAATTACAATAAATTCTGGCTGCAGCATTATCTCAAATGATTTCATGAAATACTACTCATTCATGTAACTGTTTTAAGTCACTTCCAAGATTTGATGTTCCAATCTTTGATTTAATCAGAGCTTTTTTCCCCCCCCCCCTTGGCTTCTTCATTTCATAAACAATTGGCTTTCTTTCAGGAGCATTTATCATAAAGAAAGAACATTTTTATTCATTCATGAGCATTATTAGGTCCAAGAAAAATGTAACAAAGCTATCCTGAGAGGTAGATGACAGAAGCCTACCTACAGAAGTGACTTTTTCCTAAGGGATTGTCTTATCTCTTGATCTTAGAAGATCTGCAGTATTGCTTCTCTAAAAGTGCAACTTCCAAAGCTAGTTACTTTTTGCTCCATGAATTTGCCTCATTTCTTTTTTAACAGCACCATAATATTTCATTATAAAATCTTACAGTCATTTGCTTATCTAATCCACCATTGATAAACAGAATATATCACCAAACAGAACTGCTTCCCACTGACTCCTCAGGATGTCAGTTCTGAAATACATCCCAAGAGGTGACCCCAAGAGGTCAATTGACTTCTTCATGGGCCACTTGGAATTCTTCATTTGAAATTTGACCCCAAAAGCCATTTTCATTTTGACAGAGTTTACAACCATGGTCAGTTGGCTCTTGAAGCCATTCTTATAGATATCGAAGGAAATATCTCTTATTTTGCTGCAAATTGGATGAACCTAAAGTCTATGTAAGATTATTTTAAAAGGGAAGAGAGCAAATTCAATTCATTGTTCCATTTCTTTCATAACCATTTTAGGTTATACTTTCACTTAATTTACTAAACACTTATTGATGATGTTCCCTTCAGAGATGTCAGTGGGGAGAGAGAGGGAAAGAGATATGCAATATAACTGCTATAATTGAGAACTGACAACAGCTTATTGCATTTGGCAAACAGAAATCATTTGTGAATTCATGAGAGTAGTTTCTGGATGGCAGTAGTAGGTAGAGGAGACAGGAGGAAAACACCAGCAAAGAGGAGCATCACAATAGAAAGCAAGGGTGGTGCTCTGAGAAGCAAGAGGCTCCATCTCCCTTATCTTGGCACCATTAACCAGGCTGCAGTCCTAAGGCACATGCAAGTGTTAGGAGCCCAAAGCAAAGGATGTTTAGTCCTCCTGGACAGGAAAGGGGAGGAAGAACTGGGCCTAAGCCATCTGCATGTTATTAATCCCACAGGAGATTCTGGTACACAGCCTCTCCCACTTAGGATCCGTTACACTTCACTACCACTGAATGGTCCCTGATAATAGACTCCAAGAGTTCAAGGGCAGAAGTCATGGCAATTTTCTCACCACTGTCATCTCTACCTAGAATACACCCAGATACACAGTAGGTGCTTAATTAAAATGGTATTTCTTGGATAACAAATGGGTGAACACTTCCCTATCCTCTATTATACCCAGTGAGGATTCTTAGGTAAAAACTTATTTCCAGGAACAATACAGCTATTTTACCTGGCCCACTTGACTCTCCTACCCACTGCCTTTCTGTTGATTGACAACTATCACATCTTTGCTAAACTGTTGCCTTTATTATTGATCAATCTGAGTCTAAGGTTTCGCATGGCTGAAGCTTTACTGGCCCACTTTATCCCTGCCAGGGATCACAGCCCAGAGGCAGCAGAACCAGTCTTTCCTGCTTGACTCCTGTCTCCCATTACACAACTCAGCCTGTTCTGCCAACTAAACTGCTGACTCCACCACCCTCTTCTGTTCCCCCATAGAGTTGCTATTTTTGTTCTTCAAATATACATGTGTGAATAAACTTTATAAGCCATGCAAACCATACAGATCCCATCCCTTCTGTTCCAACATCTCATTTCACTCCTAGAGCTCAGGATACCCTCACACAGTTGGATGGTTGTCTCCCCAATGCCTGCTGATGTTTTGGTGCAGAAAGATGAGCGGAAGCTCTTTCTAAAATTAATCTTTTAATCTTCTGATTTAGGAATAGGGAAAGGGTGTGTGTGTGTGTGTGTGTGTGTGTGTGTGAGAGAGAGAGAGAGAGAGAGAGAGAGAGTCAGAGTTCAATCATAATACAGCTTAATTCTATGCAAGCAATTTCACCAAGCTACTAGTAGACTTGGGAATTTTCCACAAGATACTTTTCCCAACAGGATGTAAAATATAAAAGTCACTCTGAGAGTCACAGCTGTGAAATGATCTGCTCAGGCCCCGGCACTTTGGGTTGAATGGAAAGGACACACAGGGCTCCATCTTGCTAGCTACCCATGAAAAACAGGACTGTGGAAGGCATCAGTTTTTTCCTTTAGATGGTGAACTCGGTTCGAGGTTGGTTCTGTGCTCTGTATGGTCAGTGCCTTGCCAGCCAGTCAACAAATACCCATGAGTGTTGAAATCATTGCAGCGTGAGAGTGTCTTCGGATTTGCCCAGGAGTTTGTGACAGTCCTAGTTTTCACTTCCACCCCCACAGGCACTGGCATCTGAATGTGCCAGCCTCTCCTTCTGCTCCAGCGCTGGCCTTAAGGATACACACCTCCCCAGCTTTTGAGAGTTCACCCCAAAACCCTCACCCTGCAGAACACTGGAGATGATTGCCTGCTTTCTAAAAGCTACCAACACTCATGTTTCTTGGGGGAGAAAAACGGCATGGGTGCATTGCTCAGAAAACAAAATCTTCCCTGCAGAGAAACTGCAGGGGTGTTGAGAGCATAAGGAATTAGAAATCTGGGCGTACAGCTACCAAATCTAACCTCAGTACCATTGCTCTAGTTGTTAATGATTGATTTCATGACATACTGAAGCAGACCGTCATGTTAAGCCCTGTAAGCTCAGGACCCCGAGCCTACAAAAATGTACGAAATCACAATTTTAAAATGTTAAGTAAATGTCTATTCTATCTTTTGAGAATACTGGGGATTGAATACAGGGGTGCTTCACCACTGAGCTACATGCTCAGTCTTTTATTTTTTTAACTTTTTATTTGCGAGAAGGTCTTGCTAAACTGCTGACCTCAAACTTGTGATACTCCTGCCTCAGTCTCCCAAATTTGCTGGGATTACAGGCATGTGCTACCGGGTTTCTGTTCTCGAGATTAAAAGGCTCAGGGGTCACTCCAGTTGAAATGGGCTGACTGGGCTGTGCAAAATAACCACACAAGAGACACAAATACCTTTTTGTTTGGGGTCACAGTGACAGCTCCTCTGACCTTAAGGTTCCACAGGAAGAGAGAGAGCGAGAGCATGCGCTGACCCCTTTTATTGAGGAGAAGCTATTCAAATGAGGCAAGGGGTCAGGTTTCAGAGGGCTGAGTCTATCTTCATGATGTCCACTGTCAGCAGGTTGACTGACACCTGGGTAGGCCACACCCAAGGACACAGTAAGAGAAGGGGACACACACACAGGGTACTTCCATGGAAGATTCTATCCTAAACAGGGCAAGGAGTTGGTTATATTACAAAGGAACAGATGAGCATAGGAACAAGCACCCATGGGGCTGTAGCAAGACACACCCATGCACTAGACCCCGACCCTCGAACCCAAGAAGGGTGGGGAAAGCTCTGCCACATTTCTGTGACTGAGCGCCTCAGCACCCAGCCGGGGAGTGTGACTCAGTCACGTGCAAGGTTGGTCTCCCACAACACCTATTTCATTAATTGCTAAATGTAGCTGCTTTTAAAAATTCCCTTTTCTTGAAAACAATTTGTATACTTACTTTTCTCCTTTAGAATTCTCAAATGTACTTGATAAATGCCAGAAACACTAAAAATTACTACAGCTAAATTATTTCAAAGACAAAAAATGGCAAAAAAAAATGTGTAAGATTTTACCACAAAAAAAGGTAATATTTAGTTTGTTTGGTACACTATGGAGTGAGACCTTCATAAATGACAATTCTAGGCCCTACTAAAGTATTAAGCCCTGATGAATTAGGACAATTTTAAAATGGCAATGTATTATTCCCTTTTAAATTAAATGAAGCATTAAACAATAAAAATGAGTGAAAGCCCACACTGAACAATTTCCTTTAATACATGCTTTTCTTCTTTCATTTGCCTTTCAGAAATTCCTTATAGCCTCTCCCAAAATTCATATCTAATAAACAGCCTGCAGCCCAGAGTGACATACATCCTGTGGATGACAGCTCTGACAGCAGCTGGTGAAAGTCCCCAGGGAAATGAAAGGGAATTTTCTCCACAAGGTAAGAGATGACTTTAAAGATGGTGAGTCCACCCTGTATTCTTACAAGTGTACACTCCCACTGCATGCCACATCGAAAACATCAAAATTTCCTTAATTCTGTAATTCCTTTCTTGCTGCCATACCTTTTCACTTGCTGTTGCCTCCAAACAGGAGTGCCCTCCCCCTCCACTGTCTGCTTAGACACAGTGTCAATTCATTTTCCAAAACTCAGCAGAAATGTTTCCTCCTCCAGGAAGCATTCTCAAAAGCACCTCGATCTTCCCTTCCTTTACCCATACTCAGATTTTTCCTTCCAGTACGCAGGAATTGACATCTGTTTATCTCTGAACGCAAGGTCTAGAGTGGTCCCTAATACATATTCACTAAACATCTGTTCAAAGGAAGAAAGTCACATGAGCAATAATAGTAGCACTTATTGCATGAGGTAGTTGTTATGTAATAGTCATTCTGAAAAGTGCTGTTACTGTAACAAAGTACCATAAACTGAGTGCTTCAACCAACAGAAATGTATTGTCTCACAGTTCTAGAGGCAAAAAGTCCAAGATCAAGGGGTCAGCAGGGTGTGTTCCATCTGGGGGCTGTGGGAGGGGATCTGTGCTTGGCCTTTCAGAGCTTCTGGTAGTTTACAGACCATCATTGATGTTCACTGGCCTGTAGATCTCTGCTTTCATCTTGTATTCTCCCTGTGCCCAATTTTCCTCCTTTTTATAAGGACACCAGTCATTGGATTAAGGGCTCTTCCTTCCAGTACTTACCTTAACTAGTAATATCTGCAGTGGCTCTATTTTCAAATAAGGTCACGTTTTCAGGTAGGACTTCAACTATGAAGTTTAAGGGTAAACAATTCAAACTATAATACATACTTCAGCTAATTTATTCTTACCAAACTTACATGGCTATACATGGCCCATATTTCCAAACACTTAATATGAAATATATTTTAAAATGTGAGGGAATTGTACTAGTGAGAGAACTAACATGTAGAAAGATTATCCAAAACCACAGAGATGGTAAGTGGCAGAACTACAAATGAAACTCAGATCTTAGTTCCTTCAGCTAAATTCGAGTGTATGAGTAAGTGACCCAGCTAACATGGGCTTCTCTCCACCTGCTAAGTCACACTGTTCTCTCTGGCAGCGCTCATTTGCTTCTGCTCTAAGCGTACAACAAGCTGTTGTTGCTTTATGACATACAACATCAAGTTGATCATTTAGGGACTTTGTTGTTCTGTCAGGAAATTCTCCTTCGGAAAACTATCAAGCCTTCTTCTCATCTTTCTAGTTCTCCTATGAATGATGAGGTGTGAATAATTAATGTGGACTAAAGACCCATCATCTCTCTATTGGTGGTTTCTCCTAACTTGTCCCATCAGCCCAGAAAGGAAGGTAGATGATGAAGAAATGGCAGATCATGCAGATTGTGTTGGGTGGAGAAAGGCTGCCTCCTTAACTCCCGAATTCAGCCTTGTTAGCACATGGCCTAAGGGAACTCTGCCTCTGCTCCTGTGGCTCCTTCTTTCTCCTACCCCTTGCTGACATTCCATCTCTGGTTGCAATTCATCAGTAGTTCTCCAGGAACCATCAAGCTAGAATTCAAATTTCTTGGTCACCAGGTCCTACCTGGTCCTGTTAGCCATCTAGCTCTATCCTTTGCTATACATCTCATCATTTCCTATGATAAAGTAAGACCAGACTACCTGCACCTGCTTGAAAGTGCTGCACTCTTCCTCCTTCCAAGACTTCGCCTGTTTCCTGGTCTGGTCTGGTCTTAACTTGTCCACTTAGCTGATTCCTATTCATCTTCTAAATTCTAAACTTTTGACATCATGCCATTTTCAAAACCCTCCTCAGCTCCCGCAGTGAGGCAGTTTCCTATGTTGTTCTCTGCTACACTGCCCATGAATACTGTGAATGCACATATCCCATGACATTATAAGTTGATGGCTTACATGTTTACACAGCTGTCTTCTGCACTGTATTCACAACTTTGTAAGACAGCAGAGCCCATATTCTATTCATCTTTGCATCTCAGCACCTACTAAGGCCTGATACGTGGTTAGTACTCAGTAAATGTTGGGTGAATTAATAAATAATTTCAATAGATAGTGAAATGCTCTCATTCTTTTCATAGGAAGGAACAAGCATAATTTCAAAGATTCTCAGATAGATAGAGGGCTTATCCAATGGCTTGGTAAAATTAGTAGCTACCATTTCTTGAGGGCCTCGGATATTCAATATATTTCCATATGCTTTAAATACACCATCTCTAATCTTCATAACCACCTAGAAGGTAGACATCATCATTCACATTTTACAGATCAAGTAATTGAGGTCTGCAGATCACACATCTATTAGTAGCAGAGCTGGATTAAAACTTGGAGCTCCTTTTTCCCTAACCAAATGCAAAAAAATGGCTTGACCTTGTTCCTGAGCCCAACCACCCAAGAGCTGTGAGTAGGGCCCAGAGAATTCACACAAAAAGTAAAGTTCTATTTATAGGTCAGTATTTTGAAATGTTCATTGAAAATAACTGTAATAGGATTTTCTAAATTTTCAGGTAAAGCCAGTTGGAACATGTTTGTGACGCCAAGCATTTGTATTGCCATCATCATGGTGGGTGTTTTCTCAGTACGGTACTTCCGGCAAAAGTGAGTTGGTTATACCTATTTGGTAAATGTATTTTTAAAATAATAATATCTGTTACTGCTATGGTAACAGACATACTCATACATTGCTGGTGGCAGAATAAATTTATTCACCGTTTTTAGACAACAGTATGTGTTGAGTTTTAAAAAGTGTACCTATGCCCTAGCAATTCCTACCTAGGTATTTATATTTAAATATATCATAGATATGTGCAGATAGTGGAAATTGTTTACTGAAATATTGTTCATAAAGAAAATATTTAAATAACCTAACTTCCCACTCTAATGGGATTGGTTAACTAAATCACAACATATTGCATATTATAACATATTATGCATCCATTACAGATGATGTAGAAGCTGGGCATGGTGGCACACACCTGTAGTCCCAGCTACTCTGGAGGCTGAAATGGGAGAAAATCATCCAGGCTGGCAGCCAGCTTTGAGCCCACAGATTTCAGACCAGCCTGAGTAACATACCAAGATCCCATATTAAAAAAAAAAAAAAAAAAAAAGATGATATAGAAGAAAATTAAATGCTATTTGTTATATTATACTTTTTAAAGCAGTTTGCAAGACAAATATACATATATTAATTTCTTAGAAATAGTGAGTATATACACACATACATATGAAAGACATATAAATTGGTCGTACATAATATAAAAGTCAAAATATGCAGGGCATGATGACACATGCCTGTAATCCCAATTACTTAGGAGGCCAAGTCAGGAAGATTACAAATTCAAGACCAGCCTGGGAAACCCATTAAGACCCTGTCTCAAAAATAAACAAATAAATAAAATGGACTGGGTGCATAGTTCAGTGGTAGAGCACCATTGGGTTCAATTCCCAGTATCATATATACACACTTTCTCCCCCAGGTTAAAGAAATAAGCTTAAGTAAAGGGCTAATATGGTGGTTCCAGTCACCAGGGACATAGCCATCTTTTGTTTTTCTGCTACACTGTCCTGACGTAACTTCCATCCTCAAGTTCACCTCATGGTCCAGTAGTTGGCATCATAACTAGAAAGTGGTCTTTAAGTTGGCTGTACTGTTAGCCCACTAAATGAGGGTACTCTTCCTAGGAAATAGGGGAAAATAGATGGTGGGAGGCAATTAATGTTCTACCCCAAAGATATATAACACAATATTAATAGAGGTTGTATCTGGGAATAAAATCAAAGGTAATTTTAGTTTTTTTTTCTATTTAACTATAATTTCTGAAATTTCTTTAGTAAACATACATTATTTTGTAAAGAAAAATATTTAGTTTGTTATTTGATACAAAGCTTTCTTCAAATCCCAGGTAAAGAAATAGAAATAGTCAAAGTAAAACTAGCTCAACATCATTGTGCTAGCCATTGAACTTCTCAGGAAGGCTTTAGTTTATTGAAGATCTAATGTGTGATAAATATGTCAAAGCAGTGCTCTCTTAGGTATACTTTGAAAAAGTATAACGCAAAAGTCAACTAGGATCACATATAGGCTCTTCATGGAAATAGTAGATATCAGGGTGAAGGCTAAACTGCTGTTTTAAAAAAAAAAAAATCAGGAAAACTCAAATACAGTGTTTTAATTTTAATTATTCCTTCCATATACCAGTTCTTAGGAAAATCATCCAGGCTGGCAGCCAGCTTTGTTCCAGTCACTTGGGAACCTAATTTTCTTCCATCTTATTGGCCAATGGCTATTGCCCTCAGTTGCCTCTATACCAGACTACAGATACCAGTGATCATATTTCTTTGGAGAAAAATACTTTTCTTTGTGTCACATGACAATATCTCTCACTTTAAAAAGTTAAAAAATTATAGAGACCTTTCTTTGTCAAAGTTCATTAAAGCTAAATCTTTGAAAATGTTTCATACTGGTCTTAAAATTTTCAAAAAATAGGCAAAATATTTAAGTCACATGCAATTATAAGTTTTTTTTTGGAGTTTTTTTCCTTCCATATCATTAAAAACCTGTATTTCTTCTGATCACCAAGTACAAACATTGCTAACATACTTAAGTTCAAGCTATTTATACCTTATTGTATCCTGAGTATTTTTTTAACTTTTAGTGTAGTAATTTATTAATCATCTTAAATTCTTTGTAAACATTCTGATTAGCTCAACAATAAGTTCCCAAAGGATACAGGATCAGGTACCCTTACTTGCTGTTCTATCCCCAGCATGAAGCACTATGATGATCACATATTTAGGAGCTTATTCAATGTTTGTTGAATAAATACATGACTGGATAGTGAGAGATTGCTAAAAATCACATTGAGGAAAAATTTCATAGTTTATTTAGCAACCCCTAAGGGGCTGTATGGTGACTCTTTATCATCGATCTGAATTTCACAGGAAACTACTCCATTATCTTTGTCCTTGAGGGTTTATATTTTACTCTTTGCATACTAAAGCAACCCCCACACCAAAATCACTACACTGGAAACCTGTGTTTCCTTGCCATTGTATGTGCTTAACCAAATGTCATTGTTTTCTCATCTATAGGGCATTTGTTCTCCTTTCATTACTCAGACCTCAGTGGTGTAGCAGAGACATTCCAGACCCAGCAAACAGCACTTGGGCCAAGAAATACCCCATCATGGAGGTAAGGCATAAAGTCTCATAGTCAGTCAATGGGTTGCTAGTGATGACCACATCTAAGGTTCCTATTGTAGTTACAAGGAACCCTGAGATCCTATGGGTAAGCCGATGTCACTCAAGCTGAGTTACCACTGTTATATCTGTTTTCTTCCTGAACTGAAGAGCAACCTATGCAACAAAACACTAAAAGAACCATAGTGTTCTATTCCTCTATAGGTCTTACATTCCCTTCCTCAACTCATCTTATTTCAAAAGAAATAAGAAATATTTTTTTTTCCATTTGCTGAATACTAGTCTGAGCACTGACTCATCCAAATTCAAGATAATTGAAGCTTTTGACTTTCCCAATCCTGACTGAACATAGAACAGATAAATAAAAGCAATACTATTTTGGTTTTGGCAGGAAGCCAGTAAGCTATTCCACTGTGCAAAGAAATGGTTTTAAAGGAGAGGTTGCTCAGCTGGCAGGTGAGAGGGCCAAGGGCAGTGAAGGGAGCTGCCACTGTTGCTCAGTAAAAGGAGGTGAGAACAGCTCACAGGGCAGGATGGGCCATTGTTAGTGGAAGGCCTGGAAATAGAAGGCATCTGTATTATGGAGCAAGACTGCAGTTAAGAGGAGCAATAGGTGAGGGAAGGAACATGCCAATATCCTTCCCATTGCCCAGGGTATTGACAGTCCCAGACTCCCTTTCTCAGACCTTACTTAAGCCCATCTTCTCCAAGATTCTTTTCTTTAATCACCCAGTGCCGCCTTCTGTCATCCATACCCTTCCTCAGCCAGAAGCCCATTACTACCAGACTCTGCTTTGGGAAGGAGCTGATCCCAGCTATCTCTGCTTTAGGAATTCAAGTCACTGCAGTTTAGTGCCTTTGGAATCTGGCCAGAGGTCAGCTTCTGCCACTACAATGTGTGAGACTCTTGAACAACTTACTCTACTATCCCAGCCTAGCTTCATCCTCTGTACAATAAGAATGAACAATATCTCCTTTGTATACTGTTGAGAGGACTAAATAATGTGAAGCACAAAGGTCATACAAAGCAAAGATCATTTACTCTCCTCCTGGGAACATGCATATTTTATGACTCCTCTCTATCAAAGGATTTGTCCCTGTTAAGTCACAACAGTGATAATGACAGAAATATGTATACAAACATTTATAAATATATATAATGTACCATATATAATTATACTATGTTGTATATTCAGTATATTTATATATAGTATATATCATTTATTTATACATTATATATAATATATATTTTTAAAATGTATATTATATAGCACATATTACATTTATTCTACTATAATATATAATAGCAATAAACATATTTCATATGTATTTCTATATCATATATATGAATTTCTATAACATATTCAATGTGTATTTCTAATATAGAATACATTATATATAATATATAAATATGAATACTGTATACTCCATATAGTATACTACATAATATGTAAGCATACTGTATATAGAATTTACTTATATGTATTTATATAATATATATTTATATATTACTTTCTATGTGCCAGGCACTTTTTAAATTTTTATTATTATTATTATCTAAGTTGCTTATAGCCTAAGTTGCTGTGGCTGGTTTTGAATTTGTGATCCTCCTGCCTAAGCCTCCCAAGACAGGCACTTTTAAAACATTGCATACATTAACATTTAATCCACATAGAGTTTTAAAAGGTTGTGTTAAACTGGGCTCAGTAGCCCATGACTGTAATCTCTACTTGGGAGACTAAGGAAGGAAAAATCAAGTTTGAGATCAGCCTCAGCAACTTAGTGAGACCTGTCTCAAAATAATAAAATAAATTGGGGATGTAGCTCAGTGGTACAGTACCCCCAGGTTCAATCCCCAGTACTATTAAAAAGTAAATAAAAAGAGGTTGTGCTATTATTATCCTCATTTTTCAGATGAGGAAAATGAGGCACAGAGAAAGAATCAAGTAACTAGTGCAACACTAGTTAGCTAATAGAGGATGATACTAGATTCACATACAAGCAATATGTGCTGTCCACCATCACACTGTACATTCCAACAGAGCTTTAAGCATAGGGTGAGGGGAGTGTTTCTACTGGTCCAAACCTCTGAGCTGAGCAGACTAGCCCTCACTTGGTGGCAATCTTGCGATGATCCATGGAAACACTCTATAGCCATGAGGCCTTAGAAGGATGTCCCTGCTGGTGTTAGAGGGATTCAAGTGCCAGGAGTTGAAACAGATGAAGTTGAAATTCTCTTCCAATGCTGAGATTTCAAGGTGTTAAAAGCCTAAAACAGCACAGGGGAAGTAGCTCTGGGTCAGTTGCAGACAACTGCCTTCAAACTGTAGCTTTAACATCAGGACCTCTGCCTGCCTATGCACAGGTAATATAGGGGATACAGAGTCATAAGCTTATAACAAATGCAAAGAAAAATGTGTAAAGTGTTAGAGAAAGTAAAGTAGGAAGAAGATAAAGAAAGGATACAAATGCCCAAAGTTGTGTAGCATAAGTCCACTCATTGCAGCATTATAAGTAAAAGCAAAAAAAAAAAAAAAAAGGATATGTGTGTCTAAAATTCTTTGACATCCTTGAAAGCAAAAACAGTGGTCTAAAGTGAGTTCTAATCTGTATGAAAGGAAGGAAATTTTTATACATACCTATATGCCTGCAATAGGTATACAGGATATTTCTGGAAGCTACATATGATTATAGGAAATCAATAATGGCAGTTGCATCTGGGGGAGAATGTTGGAAGTATGAGGGCCATTTTATTTTCATTAAATATTCCTTTTGAACCTAAAAAAAAAAAAAAAAAACAGCCTTAGCATTGGTGAGGCACTTAGCAACTTAGTGAGACCCCATTTTTAAGTAGAATACAAAATAGGGCTGGAGATGTGGCTCAGTGGTTGAGTGCCCCTGAGTTCAATCTCCAGTACCCCCTGCCAAAAAAAACAATGAAATTAGAAACTTTTAAAACTTTAGGTAGCTTAAACATGGCATCCAAGAGGAAAACCTTGAAGCAGCCTCAGAATGCCATATGGCTTGACCCTTGAAGTGGGTAGACTATTTTTAAGGAGTCATATTGCCCTCCTGGTGCCTGCTGAAGGCAGACTGCAGAAATACAAGGGAGTGTTTTTCACTTCCACAAAATGTGCTTTGAGCTCTCAGGCCTCACATCCCCCTACCAGTTCTTATGTGAGTGAAAAAAATCATGTGCCTTAAAGCTCTGAAGGAAAAGGCCAAATCATAAAAGGGATTACTGGGATGGTATCCAGCTTGTAAAAGCTTAAAATAGTGTCCATGAGGTTCCTGGACCAATGAAGGCTTAAAGAGGATTTCCCCTCCAGGGCTTGGCCCAAGGGCCTACTCTGTGAAAGCTCTGAGGAACAGCAACTTCTCTGAGTATTGCCAAGGATTTAATGGAGGCAAAGTGAACACCTCACCTTGTGAAAACAACCAGCCCTTTCCACACCCTGCCTAATCTCTCCCACATCTGTGGTAGCAGCACTTTGGCAGCTCTGCTTCCCACAACTGCCAGCCATGTTCCAAGCCAGATCAACATTCCAAGGCCAGTTTGGATAGTGAGCAGAGAAGAGGAGACTTCTAAGAGAAACACACACATGCCCCTTCTAGCTCTTGTGAGGGACCTTCATGGAAACCTAACAGCCCCATCACTCACTTTCTTGATCTTTGCCATGCACAAGGCAAAGGTGGCAACATCAGAGGCCAATAGATAAATTGTATTCTCTTGCACAATTTGTCATTTGACAAATGAGAAAACTGAGGCCCAGACAGGTTGATCAAGTTTATCCAGGCCAGTTGTTGGAGTTGGGACTAGTCCTCAGGGTTTGCCCTGTCCCAAGGCTATTTTTATTTTTTGTCATTCTACTCCTCCTTTAATACATGGTCCCTATGAGCAAATGGCTTGCAGACATGTAAAAGGAGGAAGAAAAAAGTGGTAGTACAAAGCATCATGTGTCAAGAAACTAACTTGTGGTTTCCTCACTCACGTAGGAATCCTATAAAAGGAATGGCCAATAAGGGTTTCATGGAAAGGGAAAGGGCCAAGAGAGCACAGTGGAGCAAATATTAGCAGGGCGAAGTGTCTTGGTAGCACTACAAGAATGTCTTAAGTAAGTCTGGACCATGGCTGAAGGAGCAGCCTGAGAAGGGAAATAGGGAGAAGTAGAGGAAGAAGCAGGAACTCATGGTCAGGCTGAAGTGTGTATATGTAAATAAGTGTGTATATGTAAATAATTGGAACTCTGCTTTAGAAAAATCAGGCAGTTCATGTGTAGGATACTTTTTAGGATGTAAAGAGAGTCCAAATAAAGCCTGGTAAAAGAAATATTTGTGAAGTGCCTAGGACTTGGATTCAGGAATGGGCAGAGAGTTCAGAAAGGAAAGAGATATGACACTGAAGAGCTAGCAACCAACAGGATACTGAGAAGAGAAATTCATAATTATGAAAATTGTTTGCTAATTTTTATCTGTTACAAAAAAAAAATTAGCTAAAGGAAAAAAGAACAGAAAACTTCCAGAAAAGCTATTCAAGTGGTCTTTCTTGAAAGCAGATCTGACAAGGATATTATCTTGCCTGACCAATGTTAACTGCTTTCAGTAGTTCCATCAAAGACCAAACCCTTTAAGCATCCCTTACAAGGCCCTCCACGATGTGACCCTCTCCTATTTCCAAAGCCTCAGTTTTCCAATAAGAATAACTAGCAGGTTCCAGAATATGTCAGTCCTCTTTGCCCACCACTTCATCCTTGGGACATACTCCACATCTCTCAGAACTCAGCTCTAGCATCACTTCAGTCACTACCCCTTGACAGAAAATAGGCTCAACCTTTCCTTTGTACTCACTGGCCCTGGAGGAAAACAGGTAGGACAGCTCAATTCCCATTAGAAGAAACAGCCAGGCTGAAGGCTGATCCAGGTAGTGACTCACTCACTGGGGGTTGAGGGAGAAGTCCCTGCCTCCTGCCTACCTGACCAATGTTAACTGCTTTGCTTTCCTTACCTCTGAAAATTAAGGGTCTACAGTGTTCCACTTGGGGCTGAGGCAGTCCAGGTTGTGAGGCCTCTGAGAAACCTATATAGCAATAAGAGCTGCTTCTTCATTCCTTCTCCCAGGAGAAGACACAGCTGCCCTTGGACAAGCTCCAGATGTCCTGGTCCACTCCTGAAGAGCCTGAGCCGCTGGTCATCAATGAAGTTCTCCATCAAATGACTCCAGTCTTCAGACACCCCCATTGCCTCAAGTGGCCAGTAAGGGGACAAGGAGTCCAAGGTTACTTTACCTCTAAGGAAGACACAGTGTACAGTGCCTCCAGCCCTTTACCTTCCAGAGCTCTCAAAGCTGAGACAAGACAGCTAGTGGATCTGTATAAGGTGCTGGAGAGCAAGGACACTAGCTCAAAGGCAGGAAAAATAACCAGCCCTTTGACAGTTCTCCCAGGGGACTACCTTCCCAGCCATGAGGGCTACTTACCCTCCAACATTGATGATCTCCCTTCACATGAGGTTCCTCTCGCTGACCAATTGGAAGAACTGGAGCCTCAGCACATCTCACTTTCTGTTTTCATGTCAAGTTCCCTTCACCCACTCAACTTCTCCTGTGGTGAAAAGCTGACTCTAGATCAGTTAAAGATGGGGTGTGACTCCCTCATTCTCTAAATGGTAAGGCTCCAAGCCTGAAAAGTCTGTGTCCTCAATCAGCACAGCATGCCCCATTTACCCAGCCCTTACTCCAGTTGTCATAATCCTTGGTAGCATCAGTTCTGGCTGCAGCTAGAGGGTGGTCCTGCCAGCTTTCTTCAAAGCCTAAAGGTTACATGTGGACCTAGAATTCCCCACCTGAGTTCCTGACAACTGTCTTGGCTATGCTAATAAGAAAGGGAAAAGGGGGAAAGGAGTGGAAACCAAACTCTCAGTAGTAATTTGAGTCCAAAGGATCATTCAAGCACCTACTATTTATAAAACACCACCAGGCTTTATCCTCTATATCAGTTGGAAATGTTTTATTTGCCAACACTGTCCAATACAGTATACACTAGCTACGTTGACTGTTAACCACCTGAACTGTCTAGTGTGACTTAAGAACTGATTTTTTTGGGGGAGGGGGTGCTGAGGATTGAACCCAGGACCTTGTGCATGCAAGGCAAGCACTCTACCAACTAAGCTATATCCCCAGCCCAAGAACTGAATTTTGATTATAATCAAACAACTATATGTGGCTAGTGGCTACTGCATTGGATAGTACAACTCTAGATGTTGAATACACTAATGAGAATTATAAGGAGCCTTCAAAACAAGTCAACATAGTTTTATAGATGCTGACACAAAAAATACCGGTAAACACCAATATAAAAGGGCCTCCAAAATGTTCACAACTATCACTTATTATTCCTACTTTTCCTAGTTCTGCTTGTTTCATTTTACCTTGCCCTTTCAGTGAAATCAAGGCAGAATGGTGGAGAGCTACTTAAACCCACCATGGGACCTTAGGTAAGCCAGCCTCTGGATCTCTTGGAAAGGGCTTTGACCCCTAGTTTCCTCTTCTTTTTGCTGCAGCAAGTACTGCCTTCAGGACCAGGGCTATCTCTGGGACTAAGACCTCAACTCCAAGTGTTGCACTTTGAACCTTTTCCAAAAGTACAGCAGAAAAGTCCATGAACCTTTTTCTTAAATCCCCAACAAGCCTGGGTGAAAGCTTTACCCACTCCCAATGACTAACACTGGAGCTGAGGGAGCTTCTTATAATCAATTCATTTGTTCAACTCATCTCTTCTCACAAGGTTCTATTCTTTTAAGTCACCCGATACAGTTGTTTCCTGTCCCAATACCACTACAAAGGCTTATTTCCCTCTTTCTAGCCTACAGAACTCATGGATGTTTATATTAAACGTCTTTATTAAAGGCTAATGGGTGAACCTTTATGAATCAAACACACTCAAACAAAACAGATCAGAAAGTTCTTCTCTTCTAAAAAAAAGATAAGCAATTTTATCAACTGACCAACTGATGGATCTTTACAACTTTTACCAGATTGTTTCCAATAGATTAAAATTAAAACCTTATGAAACACAATGTTTGCAATGTATGCCAAAAATAGCTTCCTTATTAATAAAGCACTCATATGGATTAAGAGGAGAAATGCTAACACTTTAAAGAAAAACTGGACTATGAGTAGGCAAATCAAAAAGTACATATTAATGCCCAATAAACATGAAAAAGTCACCCTGAATCAAAGAAATGCAAATTAAATATTATTAAATGATATTTCACACTTATCAGATTAGCAAAGATTACTTAAAAACATTAGCCAGGTATTAATCAGAGAAACTGGTGTGTTAGCAGTTTTCTGGAGGGCAGCTGGGCAATATTCAATACAATTTGAACAAACAGCTGGGCATGGTGATGCACATTTGTAATCCCAGCTCCTCTGGAGCTGAGAAAGCCCAGCCTCAGCAATTTAGGGAGATCCTATATCAAAATAAAATTTGAAAAGGACTAGAGATAGAGCTTGGTGGCAAACACTTGCCTGGCATGTGCAAGGAGACCCTGGGCTCAATCCTTAATACCATTAAAAAAAATTGAAATAGAATATGTAACTTTATTCCTATCAACGTAGCCCAGAGAACAGCATAAATATCCTAATGTGAATGCAGGATTCCTCAATAGCATTGATGAAAATAGGTGTGAGAGCCTCAATCACCCTTCGGTAAGAATCAGATTCCACTAGTTTTGACACCCCGTTGCTTTAGAGTCTATGTAGAACAAAAATGCTAATTAAACTGTAATATGGCATTATTTTCAATAATACTTTTTTTTGGTGGAGGGGCAGTGCTGGAGATCTAACCCAGGACCTCCTGAATGCCTGCAAGTGCTCTACCACTGAGCTATATCCCCAGCCCTCCTTTTTTTAAAAAATTTGAGAAAGGGATTCAAACTAAATCACCCAGGCTGGCCTGGAACTTGTGATCCTTCCTCAACTTCTGCTCAACTTCTGGAGTAGCTGGGATCAGAGGCTTACAGGGTTTACCACACCCAACCATTAAACCATTTATTTAGTTAAAAAAAAAAAAAAAAAAGCATCAAGACTACATTTGACTCAATTTTGTGGCTTGGGAATTGTTGAAATGCAAATAAACATCTTTCTTTTAATTGGCTCCATACTTTGCTAGTAGTCACTTTTTATTTATGAATGTCAAAACTGTTCTAAAGTAGGTTCTTCTCAGACTTCAATCAAATCTCTAAAAAATCTATTATGAGCTGCCAGTCCTTTTGAGTCAATTCAGGTCAATTTTTGCACTTGGGATTAAAGCCAGGGGCACTACTCTACCACTCAGCTACATCCCTAGCCCATTTTTATATATTTTTTGAGATGGGGTCTTGCTGTTACAGAGGCTGACCTTGAATTTATCAACCTCCTGCCTCAACCCCAGAATGGCTGGGATTTACAGGTGTATACCACTGTGCTGGCTTCAGGCCACTTCTCAACTTTCCCAACTTCAAGGAACTCTATATGCCTGTCAGGTGAGGTTCAAAATACCCTCACTTTCTAATGCTAGGCATTTTGCCACCTATTAGGTAATAGGAACCAAGGAAACATTATAAGGGGAATTACAAGACCCTCCAAGAATAAACTTTCTCAAGGACCCAGAAATTTCACTGGAAAAGCTTAAAACATCCACAATCCTGACATTTGCATAATTGGAAGAAAATTATCAAAACTCACTTATTAAAACCCCAACTCACTTGTTATCTAATGTAACCATCACTTTACCAAGTTAGTATATAATGTACCTCCCTGCACATTAGCACCAAGAAGTGAACTTCATAACCTAAAGATATTTTCTTGTGGCCCAAACTGAGAATCCAGGAGACTCCCTTTCCCACCTCCCATCTCTCAAGGTAAAAATAGGAATTCCCAAAATTTCATTTAGAAACAGAAATCTTACTTTATTTATTCCATCACAAAGGGAGCAAAAGTCCATTTGCCTTCTTTTCACAACACTGTGGAAAACACTTGTTTCCTAAATTATTCTCAACCCCATACTATAATTCAATTTGACCAGATTCTGTCCAATGCTTGTAAACAGAGCCAACTCCCACCCTCTGTGATCTATGGCAGGGTAACTTACAGAGAAGCTGTGCACAGCTTTTTAAAATATTACATCCACTTTTTACTTGCTTGTAATAGAGGAAAAATAATTAGCAAGGATGTTTAGTAAGTCATTCCTCCAGCTAGAGGGAGTCTTCATTTCAAAGTTTTCTCTAAAAACCTGAGGTTACTTTTAAAGTTTAACAACCCTAGATTGGTAAACCTAAAAAAGGAAACATCCCGATGCCCTGTAAGGGACATACTAGTTATGTTCTTCAATCAACCGGTATTGGCAATTTTCCCTTAATAAACATTTTTCTCTTGAAGAGAACTTCTCAGATGTTGTATTTTTCAATTAGCTACACAGCATCAAAAGCACTTCTTCATTCAACAGGACTTCCAGCTCTAGCAAGACTCAAGATGCAAGGGATCAGTACAACTGCTATAAAAAAATAATGTGGATTTTGACATATAGTGACCAAGTGCCACTTAATCTTCAAGATACAGTATACTGTAATGAACAAAATACAGTGATGTGAAGTATATAATATACCTGTTAGGTAGGATTATGATTTTTTCCCCCCATGGCTAGTAGCCAGTGAACATCTAACTTAAAAAATGGTTTTATCAAATCCAGGCCTGTACATTGTTCAGAAGATCCTAATCTAGCCTTTAGTACCTAAGAAGTGCCTTCATCAATATGCATATTACAAAATGGAACACAAAACCAAGTTGAAGCCAAATTGTTTGCAGTTTTAAAGGAAGTTGTTTTACCACAAAAGAAAAAAAAGTCCTTGTAAATTTAATTAGAAATTCCGAATTCCCAGGGGAAATGGACAATTATCTACCTCCTAACAGTTGTTATATGTGAATCATGAAAGCCCAAACACTTTTGGCCATGTAATGGGGGAAAATAAAAACATTCATCTTCTTGGATGAATTTTGTGATTTCTAAAATAATCCAGCAATGTTAATATTCTGATAAACATTTAACATGCACTTGTCTAAGTATTATCACGTGGCTGGTTAACGTGTGATTACAACCCAGGTGTAAAATGAATTCAATAAAATAAATATTTTGTTCCCAAAATAAAACAAAAATTTTCTGACATTACTCATTAGCTAATAGAATATTTAGTCCCAATTTGATTTCAGGCAAATGGCAAGAATCAGCTACCACAATTGAAGTGATACGGTATAAACCAATAGAATTGTCCAAAGCAACTTCCTGTTTTCTCCTAACATCAGAATCCTGAATATCAGCCCTTCACTCAACATTTCCACACCAGTAACAGGTAATAAACTTAAGAAATAAAGGCCACAAGGTCAGTTCACAGTAGTTGTCTCAGACCTGGTTCACATGGTGTGAACCAATCATCTACAGTTTGTCTTCCACATACAAAACCTAGGAATTATCTATGCAAATGCAATAGGAACTGCCATACCCTCCCACATGGGCAGCAAAAGGGATGTTACTGACTTGATACCTAATAACTCAAGGACTGCAAATTTCCAACTTTCAACTGTCACTTCTCACCTTTTCCTTCTATTTAAAAGTGGACTCCCAGTTACTTAGTACCTATCACAAACGCTATAAAAATTTTGCCCGGTTTTGTTGAGACGATGACATCCAGGGATGCTCAACTACTGACCTACATCCCCAGTCCTTTTTACTTTTTGAGTACAAGTTGCCAGGCTGACCTTTTAACTTGCAATCCTTTTGCCTTAGCCTCCCAAGTGACTAGGATTACAGGCAGGTATGCCACCATGTCAGGCAGAAAAACTGTTATGAGAAATCATTAATTTGGTGCCAGGTTGTTTGTTTTTTGCGTATGTAAGACATGAATAATTCTTATGGAAAAACTGATTAGCAACACCTGAGCATTGATATGAGCACTACTAAATGTGAAACCTAATGGTATTGTGATAACTTTTATAGCAGATCCATACATTTAAGTTGCTAGACAATTTTTATTTGAAGAAACAAAATCAGCCTTAAAAAGCCATCAGGTTAACTCATCCCTTTCCTGATTATAGACATCAAAGCATGAATTTATTTCATAACTTCCTGTGAGGTAGGATCTAGCTTGTACCTTGAACTGTTTTATTTTCAAAGAGCTCTTAGATGCTGACCTGGAAGAAACAGCTTGAGTAAGAATACAGCACACACTTTATGGAAAGGGCTACACAAAGGCTTTGTGGACTACCAACATTTTGGGGTTTTGTTGTTGTTGTTGAGTTTTTTAACCCTTCAATACTATTAAAAACCATTCTTACCTCAGGAATGCAGTGATAAGAGTGCAGCCTAGTATTTCTAAGGCTCTGGGTTCAAATGCCAGCACCACAAAAAAAGAAAAACGAAAACTCAGGAATGTAAAAAACAGACCACAGGCTAAAGTTTGCTGACAGACTGTTTAGATATAGCACTTTAAGCTTCTTATGCACAGGTTATAATCTTGTTTCACTATATTCTTGGATTTAATTCCTTCACCTGACTTTATCAATTCTCAAACTTCAAAACCAACTAGGGTCTCAGGTTCAAAGAATCATGCCCAAGGTAAATGGTACCTCTCAACCCACACAGCTAAGCAAAAAGTAACCACCCAAAATTCTTACAGCTGCCATTATCTCAACAAACCCTGACAGACTGGGGATGTAGCTCAGTAGTAGTGTTTGGCATGTGTGCAGCTCTGGGTTCAATCCTCAACACTGAAAAACAAATGACAAAGCCCTAATAAATTTGTCTTGCAAATTATGTTGATAGATTATTACTAGGCTGCAAAAGTTTAATCAGGTACTACTTTACTGCCTTTACTACTAGGCACAGGCTTGCCAAAAAGATAATAATGATCAAGTTTCTGGGCTCTCAGTAAACTTGGATCGGGCATTCAGTAGGGTTTAACAATCACTTGCACATCAATCTCATTACAAATGTTCGAATTAGAATATATTTTCTAAGCACTTTCTTTAGAAAGCAGAACTGTATATCAGCTGAAGGTTGGGACAAATGTCCTTTTAAGGTACCTGCATAGTCTTACCTTTCAGTCAACGTCAGGATCTAGCGACTTCACATTTCTCCTTTTTAACTTTAATACCTGTTGGTTTCTTCCACCAGCTAGTGCTCTTAAAAGTCATTTTTAAAATTCAATACACAGTATTTAGACTTTGTATGCAACTGCCTATTAATACTTTTCTATTTCAGTGCAATCTCAAACAATTAGAAAAATAACAATGAATACTTAATATTCTCCCTCCAAACCCATACCAAAAATAAGCCCCCAATATATTTACAACCCTGGAGATGATGTGTCTTACTTCCATTTTTAAAAAATAAAATTGAATAAAGGTACTAGATGTACATTATCTTGTGACACATTTTATGAGCTTAAATAACTCAAGTCTTAAAATAGTATTCAACTAGTAAACCATACCCCCAGTCATTTCAGTATACTTGTAAATGTCTTTAAAAGCTTCAGTTCTTGATATTATTTTCATTTAAAAGCATCAAGATAAAAACTCACCAAAACATCAGTCACACTATTTAAGGAACCTATATCCATTAAGAAATTTCCTCTCTAGAGTACTATACCCAGTTAGCCATTGAAAACTGGCATTATGATTTTCAGTGGAAACTTGATTTTCTAAGAGAAATGAAAATCGTCACATAAACCCTTGAAATTCATTTTACCTGAACTTAAACTTTCCCAATTTTGTCACTGATGGGGATCTCTCCCAAATAAGTTTATCAAATAAAAACCTCACATAAAACCTAAATGTAATACTTTTAAAACTTAAATGAGCATTACATCTTGAGGGTATGAAGAGGTCAGAAACTGGGAAACACATGACA